CAGACCATACAGCTTCCCAAAGTGGCATGATGGGAAACTACACACACACACACACACACACACACACACACAAATAATAAAACATGTTACGATGTCATTGTAGGCAGATACAAGAATACTGAAGTGTAGTCCCTAAAAGACGTGTGTGCTGTGTGTATTTGTGTGTTTTGTTCTCACGCCACACTGATGAAGGCTGCGTTGCCGCCGTAGAGGAAGGAGCGGTTGAGCACCTGCAGGATGAAGGTTAAATACTGAAGCGGCAGGTACGGGATGGAGGCACAAATTGAAAACAGCAGACACTGGAGCGCCGTCAGGAAGAGAGAAAGCACCGAGGCCCGCAGGTCTGCTTCCTGTTCACTCTCTCCTACAAACAGACACAAGAACAAATGAAAACACATCTGTTCCTCCACAGAGAAACAATTATGATGAAAAAGCAAACCTGAGAAATAAGTAATTTTAAGTAATATGTCTAGTTTTTGTCCAATTTTGTTCGTATAACTTCCTTAAAAGGAATATTAGGTTGGTGTCCAAGGTCCTTGGACTGCTGTTTATCCACCACAGTCATTAATGGGACTTTTTCAATTAATATTTATCATCTCTTTAGACATGCAAGAGCCCACTGACATGCTGGGCCCTGAGAGCACACCTGGGACACACTGATAGTAGGTCTGCCATGGCTGTGGCCTGTTGGATTCATTACTAGACGTTTTTAGTATTAGTATGTTACCTGCAGCACGAGGTTTGCCCTTATGTCTGTCCATGATGAGGCCGTTCCAGGGAGCACACAGCACACCACACAGCTGCGTTATAGCAAAGGCATTGATGTACTGGCTCACTGCAGGGACACACAAGCAAGGACAAGATGCTTAGAGACAAAAGACTCAACAACAGTTCTATTACTATTTCTATATTACTTCAGTCACGTCCTTTACAGGTTAACTGGTAAGTATTCATGGACCTAATAAAGAAAGTTTGCACAAACGTCTATCTTTGCTAAGACAGGCAGACATGATGTAGTGTGTTTACCCAGTGACGGCTCCCCCGCCGTCAGCCGCTGCAGCATGGGGTTGAGGGTGCCGATGAAGAGGTAATGTCTGAGCTGCATAATCGATAACCAAAGCAGCTGCAACACGAAGAACCTGGACATCAAACACTCACGGAAACTCTTCTCTGAGAGAGACGAGGGGAGACCACAGAGATTGATGAAGACGAGGAAACGACAAAGATGAAGAGAAATAGATTGTATGATTATTTTATTCAGTTACGTATTACTATGTATCAATCCATGTCACAGTAAAGTAAACAGACCTTGTTGCACAGTGACGTTCTTGTTGAGGTGCAGTTCCTCCGTCGCTGTCGGTGCGTTACCGTTTGTCTCTAAGCTCAGAGTCTTTGATTTACCACAGGTCATCCTGACAAAGGTCAAAGGTTACAGTGGGTAAGCCACAGTCTGAGAGCATTGTGGGAAATCTTACTTTAATTTACCCGCTACAATCACATAACAGCATATGAAGGATATTTCCATGGAATGTGGTATTTCTGATGTAAAAATAAACTGTACTGCTAAGATTGAAAAAAATAAAAAAAACATTGCAAGCAACTTTGTTAGAATCAGTTGTTTATTTGCCTTTAAATATTTGCAACTGAATGTATTTATCATTAGCTTTTTTAATAATGCTGAAATAATGCTGTTTTTTTTGTAAAAGGAGCAGATACCCGGGCGTACACATTGACGACAAAGTGATATGGCACGTTAAAAATCAACAGCGGCTAAACTTCCTTATTAACTTTATTCACTTCATGCATTCCTGAGGCCTGTGTGAGGTGTTGATAGCTGTGTGTGTGTGTGTGTGTGTGTGTGTGCGTGTGTGATTATGTGGTTTTGTACCCGTATGTGTAGTCATCAGGCAGCGGGTAGGGAATGTGGTGTCTGGGCATCAGGAAGAAAGTCCTGAGGAGGTGAATGATGCTGCAGGCGGACAGGAAGAGGAAAGAGGAGCGGAGAGAGACGCCAGACTCGTGTAACAGCTGCAGGAGAAGATGTCAAGATCATCGTTACATTATTAGATGGGATAAATATATTTAATTGTAAATGTGTGTGTGAATGTTTCTCACCTTGATGACAAGGAAGAGAGCTGACGAAGAGTCGAAAGCCCCGTTATAGAGAGTGATGATGGTGGAGCGATGTGAGCCAAACAGGTTTCCTACCTTAAGGAGAGACATTTAAATTAATTTCAACAGATGTTGCATTTAAGTGTCTACATATCCGGGGCTTCCTTTGCTTTGGTGCATCTACTCTTCTGTCAATCGGCATAAAATGTGCTCTTGCTGTGTTGAATTACTTGTTTGAACATGAGGATTTGGTTTTAAATCGTTTCAGAGCGTTTTAGAGCTTTGTAATTTTTTCAACATGATCTGAGTCTGAGAAAAAGCCCTGCAGCCAACAAAAGTTCACTGAGGGCAGACTTTTTTGTTTGTGTTCTTGTTTAGTGACTTTTTTTGTGATTTAGTGAGTAGACAGACACTACGATGTTGAACATCAAACCTCTGTCTCTTTGAAAAAAATATTTTACAACTGCGTTTCTCAGTCTCTCCTTACAAATGGGTCACAGTACAATTTAGAGTTAGTTGTTTTTGATCATTTTCTACTTTAGGTGATACTCCACTGACAGAGCACGCAAACAGGCATCCAGAAAAAGTCAAATGAATAAAAAGATGTACCACCAAATTTTAAATAATGAGACAGAAGAATTTGATGGACTAACAGGACAAGCTTTCATTTAGTTTTTTCACTTTCCCTTGCAGCAATTTTTGAATGACAATTTAGAGCAAATATCGACCATCTACTGATTCGGAGATACAACAATGTGAATTAGAGCTAAAACAATTAAAAGATTAGTCGAACTTCAACAACAATTTTGGTTCAATTCTCCAGTCCACTTTGAAGTTGTGCCGCTTTTCTCTGTTTTATGAAATTATTTGTATTTATATATAATTATTATTGAATATTTGGGCTTTCAGACTCTTGTATGGATGAAATCAGCTATTACAATATGGGCCATGTGGAACTGTGACTGACAGCTTTCACAACTTCCGGACATTTCACATAGTAATCAATTAAATAATCAAGAAAATAAGAAATGAGTTAAGATTAAAACTGACAATAATCTTTTTAATCTGAACGACTGCTTCAGTACCTGCATGTTTGTTATTAGAAACAAGATGCCACCTGCTGACAGGACGGAGAGAGCTGGGAACAGCAGGTTGGATGAAGCTGAAAACATCGGAAAAAATGAGCATCCAAAGCTGTTACAACTTTACTCTTATTTTTTAAACAGTGAGGCTCCTGAAGAAAGCCCCAAAACAAAGAGAAGGAGAAATATTTTTCACCTGCAGTCGAGAAGGCCACCATCAAAGTACCCATGGTGTACAGAAATCTGGAGGGAAAAAATAAATGTCAGTGTTTTCAGGTAATTTGTCTGATGTTCATTTTGCTTTATTGGGAGCTGCACAGTAACCAGCCACAATATGTTATAGAACAAAGAATTTGGGATAGGGACAATTGGTTTTAAAATGAATGAAATTAAATACACGTTCAGTCAAAAGCCACAAATAAGCAAGTTCTTCTGCTGTTAGAAGAAGTTTGGCTGGCTTTCTAGCAGAGATCTATTCTCAGCTCCACTTGCTGCGTCTTGTCTTTGCCTTTTGTTTTCCCTCCACCCTCTGAGGCAGTATGGAGGCCTTCTTCTTAGTGGGAACATCTGCACAAAAAAACTCAACATATTTCGTTCTAACATTCCTCCATCCACCGGTGATTTATGGTCCTGACTTTTCTATTTCTTAAATATTCTTTCACTCTTCCTCTTTCCATTTCATTGCCCTTTGTTTTCTCATAAAACATGTTCTCTACATTCTGCATTGCTAAGTGTCAGGCTCTGGGCTGTACGCTGCATCTCTATTCTTGTTGCTGTCTGGAAACCTCAGCTACTTTACGTAACATCCCTCGAGGGAGCTACTCTGGCCTTTCACTTTTCCAGCTTTCCTACAGTACAACTTTATTATTTTAATTATTTGTAGCAACGAACATATTTGGAAATCCCTCAGACGGAAATTCCACAGACAGCAAATTGCCTCTTTGCACTGTAGTATTAGCTTAGCCACCACAGGCAGAGAGAGTTACAGCCATGCAGGGGGATTATGAATCTGTCTTTCGTGAAATGTTTGGTTTATTAAAAAACCATCAGGCTGCAGGGACTTTTTGTTGTGTTTAGTTTCATTGATGAATCCAAAACTGGAAGTTACAGCAAAGTAACCGGTAGCAGTTTGTTTTTGTTTTGGGTATAAATACTCCCAATGTAAAAACTATTTAGTAAACAAGTTCCTTGATTTTAAGCTTATTTCTTTCTTAAAGTCAGTGTCATATAAAAGCCTGCTGACTAAAATAAAGAGATTGGAATATTTAACTTTGTTTCTTCATTGAAACACTAAATTGTGTCTATTGTCTGCACAGCTTAGAGACAAACAGACACAGACGTAATGTCTGTGATTCTTAGAGCTTTAAAAAGTATCCTCAAAGATTTTGAAAATAAAAATCCTCTTTGAAGTGGTATCTTGGTGTTTAAGTATCAAAATTAAACAAAATCCATGTTAAAACAATTCAATCATTGGCAGAATAGACATATCATGATGCAGAATTAGATGATGCATTGAATCTTAGTGAAATAAAATCCAATCAAACTGTCGTATTAAACCATCACACCAGTCAGTACACATGAAGTGCAACCTACAGGGAAAAAGTACTTGCTGCACCTCACACTTGTTGCTCAATAATCACACTAATGATGAACCTCTTGTTGTTGTTCTTTACTACCTGACTGTTTGTCATTTCATTCCTCTAACTACCCAACTGGTGGGATTTTAGTCCTCTACCGAGTCACTGTTTTGATGAGAAATTACACAGGAAATCTTTTAAATCCAATGACCTGTAACTCTTCAGTAATTAAAGTTTTGTTGGACTCACATTCCAAAGAGCCGAGCCACTGTAGTACCAAACCAGTCAAAGAGGAAGCCATTAGGCAGCGTCAGGAAATTGTTCATGAAGGAGGCGATGGTGAAAACAAGAGAGAACTGTTCGTCCTGTCCACTGCAGTCTGTGCATAAAACATAGAGAAAGAGAGAACCATGGATTCTTTTTAAGGAACATAGTCTGACATCTTGGTATAATGGAGAAGTAGAAGAGGCTCTGCAAGACACAGATGTCAGCACCTAAAGACACGGTTTCTTAACCGAAGACATGTTCACATACTCTGTTTCTCTGAAGGGTCGTTTAAAACAAGAACATAGAAACCACAACCGACTCACAGTTGAGCTACCTGCATGAACCAGATAAGACCAGACTAGACACCTCCTGCATGGGAGTCATGTATGCTCTCTGTAGGTATAAAAGGATGTTGAATGTTGTATCTCGTTGAAGCTCACACCACAGACAGCTGAATGAGTATCTGTGGTGCACTCTTCCCTTGCAAGCAAATAAATGGACAAAGACAACTTTGAATCTTTTGAAGACTTTGTTATTGATTTGTGAACAACTCTCTCTTCTCCCGATTAACATAGAAATTTTCCATCACAGTGGCTAACCAGGTGACAAAGGGCCGAGCACACAAAAACATTTCGATTTGTAATGATTATAGAAATCCAGGTGATGGGGCACCCTCTCTCCCTCTTTCCTGTCTATCTTCGGCTGTACTATCTAATCAAGGCAAAAGGAAAAGCAGTGGAGGTGAGGATTTCAAACTGACCTAAGACCTGCGTTGCATTGACTCCTGTGGTGTTGACGCATCGAGAGCTGAAGTAGCCCTCGGTCTTCAGGATAAAAACAAGCGAAGCCCATCCGAACACGGCTCCAGCGAAACACAGACACTCCACCAGACCTGTAGCAAAGGTGAGGCCGCGTCGCAACGACAAGCTGTTGCCAAGACCCGGCATGGTCCCTCACACACTCACACACAGGCAGGAAATTCACCAACAACTTTCACCAGAATGGACACATACAGATGTCTCCTGTCACTGCACCTGCCAAACAAAGGAAATAAAAAGTGAGAAATTTAATTTTGATACATTTGACACAAGCCTGTTCTGCACCTTTAAATACATTTTCATAGAAAAAGAACATGACCTGCATGACATGTCAAAAGCCCTTTAATGGAAAATCTTAAAGTTGCACAAGTCAGACATTGCGCTAAAACATCTAGACACAAAATATTGTGCTTGAGTCCAGGCCATAAAGTGAGTCATCTTCCAAAAAAACACAGACTTCTGCATGAATTCAGATGGAAACCTACAGGTAGGTCATGAAACTCCCATTTTAACAACAATAGGAATCAATTAAAATGTGCAAACATGGATTCTTAAGAGAGTAAGCTCCTGTAAAGTCACAAAAAAACAAAAAGCACATTTGTTAAAATGTATTATTCTCCAGTTTACTACTCTCTAGTACTCACAGTTCAGCCTCTGTAGGTCTCCTCAAACATTCTCGCAAACCACACCTCTGTCACCATTAAGGCCAACTCGTCCTTCCTCTATCACACCAGTTCCCTCCCTCTGCCCCCTCCCAAATGTGTTTCTCTTGCTCAATTAATCTCTGCTGCGCAGCAGAGAAGATCTCTCTCCTCTTGCGGTGCTAGTGGCTGCTGAAAATAAACACTTCTGCAAGCCAAACCGCAGGAAAGCTGCCACTGAATGGATATTATCAGTCCGTAGAACGTAACACAACAGTGTAAAAACCTTTTTGAACCTTTTTTTAAAAACTATACCATATGACCTATTCTGATTATCTTAAATCATGCAATGAGTCTGTGAGTTATGTATTATGTTTAAAGTCAGCTCAGCATTATATTTTTGCTGAGTCTCTCAATTCTGAAGTATTTTCATGCAATCACGCGTGAGAGTGAGAGTGAGTGTGAGTTACACCCGTGAGACAGAGCTGAGATGCACACCAGTACAAAGCCAGTGCAGACATCTGCCTAGATGACAATGAAGACGTATCTGTTGTGTGAGATGTGCAAGTGAAAAGAATGTCAGATACACCTGTGGTCTAGAAGGGGGGTTAGCCAAATGTGGGTTTTCATTCAATCACACGATACAGCAGTGGTTTAGATGTATATATATATATATTTATATATATATATATATATATATATTTTATAATGAAAATACATGAAAAGCTTGCGAATTCAAGAGACACTGCGCCACGTTTATTTTTAGCAGTGTATGATATGATACAATTTACTTAATTATCCCCATAGGTAAATATGTCTTGCATTCAAATGTTGCACACATGACATGTTGCACTTTTGATGATTAACTAGACATTATTCTGAACAAATTCCGCAAATCAAAAAGAGTTACTGCCACTGATAATGACAAACAACAACATGACAATGATATCACAGGACCAGCAACAACAGAACAAATTATTAAAGACACAAGATCATTTGGCATTGGCATGTCAGCATGTTATCAAGTTACTTAAGTCCACTGAGTCACCCAGCTGTGGCATTATCAAAGGAATCATGTAAGACTACCAAGGCAGACTCCATTGAGACTCCAGAGACTATTATTGATTATCATTCTGTTGATGATAATGGTTGATTTCAGTGTTTGACCTTCGATTTAATTGATGAAGATGGATGCAAAATGCACTAATGGCTGCCCGTTACATGATCTTCGTTATTGGGCCCAGATACTTAACACAATGTACCAGGCTCATTGGCTTTGATGCTGTTTTTATTTCAGTGGGCTCCAGCAGGTCCAGGGAGACGTCACTAGCTGAGGTTGGAGATGTAAATCTTTGCTGGAAGTCTTATGATAAATACAACACCCCTCATGAGACCCAAGTTGTATGTTTTACCAGCATCATCACCCGATCACAAGACACAGATATTTTTACATACACAATGTGTGGAAACAAGCTTGAACCCACTTCCTAAAACCAATGGCCCAGTGTTACCGAAGGCATCAACCAACTACACATCTATATGTGTGTACGTGTGATAGAGCCTGCAGATACCAACTCCACAGATCATCAGCAAAGGTCGCGAGCCACATGACTTCTATCTCATCACAATGCAGATTTGCTACAGCTTAAAGGATAATGCTGCCATTGTTTAATCTTTTGACTTTTATCAACAAATTACACAATGTCCTATGTACCTCTATTACGGTCTTGAAGCTGTAATAACACATTAAAGCCGTACTGTTGCACTGGCTTACATGTTCTTACATTAAACAACAGAAGCCCCATCAAGCTGAACTTTCAAACAAAGTAGCCTACACAACCCAATGCAGAAATCGGGCCTCCCTCACTCAAAAAGCTGTGCTTGCTGTGCTTGTTGTGCATTGAATAGCAGCAGCCTTGGATAGCCAAAGCTGAACTGAATTCCCATCTTATATAAATGTAATGTGGGTTGTGTCATATCTAATGTTGCATGCTTTGTGTAATGGTGACACGTAACATTTGCATGAAGCGATTGCTTCATGCAAACAAGGCATACAGGTTTAGCAAGTTGGCAAGATCAAATGTGTACTGACTAACAGCTGAAGGTTCTTTGAGAGGGACATTACCTAACCTGACAAACAGATCCCAATCAAGGGCGTAGGTTTGCATAGGGTCCATAGGGACTAATCACGACCAAAGTTTGGGAAAGACACAATTGTCCCCACCAATATTTTGTTGATTTCAATTGCCTGTTAGAAAAAATATTTTTGCACAATATATTTACAAACTCATTCGTATTATTATTAGTGCTGGGCAAGTTAACGCATTATTATCGCGTTAACGCATTAATTAATTAACGCCGACAATTATTTTATAGCGCGTTTTTTAAATTTTGAAAGTCTGTTGCTCACTGGCAGCGGTGGAGGAATGGAGACTACTGGACATTGCTGCAGTAAAGTCAGCAGACACTCAGATCTCCGTGGTCAACTCAGCAGACACTTACATGTTAGTGCACCTATATGCTGAAATTCACGGTAAACGCATTCAATCGGCACAGATCGGGAGTGAGCGAAGGACTTTGAAAGGTAGCGGAAAGATTAACGTGAGACAACATCCGGTTACTTCAGACGAACATCCGGTTTTCAGAATAAGATGCCAACAAAGTATGAATTATATTCACATTAAGTATAAAACATGCTACCTGCATCTCGTGAGTTAAAGGGAAAATACACCTAAATTGTGCGTAAAGTGTCTTTATTCTTTGATCGCTGGGTAACCATAATTACCTCGTAGTTACAGCATTATATTGATGAACAGTAGAGCTGCATTCACATGCTCTGACTGTCATGAAGACACAAGACAGACATTTTTGCTGAAACGTGCTGAAACATTTTATTCCTGTTGCACAGCAGTGGAACGTTTCACATACAGTCAGCACACTGAGCACAGATGGTGAAGAGATATAACTGCTGCTTTGTAAAGAGAATACTGCTGTTAAAAAGCACCTGATTTGTTTAAAGTGTTTACAAACCAAATGTTATTGCCCTTTTGTTCATATAGCAGTACTTTTAAAATAAAAGTGCACAATACACTACTTTTGAATTCATTATTGAACTTTGCCATAACAATGAGATTAATCTCAAAAAATCCATGCGATTAAAAATTGTAATCGTTGCCCAGCACTACTAATAATTGCATAAAGGAGGAAAACACTTTATTTGTAGCCTATTAAGTGCTGCAGAATAGATTTTTTATTTTTTTTGTCTTTTTTGGCTGCACAACTGGGAAAAGTTTTTTATATATATTTTGGATATAGAATATACTGTTACTACATATTGGCATTTGAGCAGAACGCTTTTTATTCATTTATGTAATTATTTGTTATTATTATTATTTATTTGGTGCAGAATACTGTTTTGTATTTAAACTAAGGTTTTATTACTGTTGTTATGTTAAAATCAGTTCCAAGTTACACAAATGTTAATATATTTTAATAAAGTTTGCCTGTTCAACATAATATCAACTAAGTTTATTTTATATGGCGGGGGGGGCGCTGGCTGTGTCCCTACCAATGCTGAGACCAAACCTACGCCCTTGATCCTAAAGATCAGGTAGTAAAGCAGAAGCCACATTTTCATGTCAGTTTCTATTGTTGTTTAGCACCAAAGCACAGAGTAACAGTGGATCATGTCACTACAAACCAATTGACACAGTGATCTTGAGGATTTTGGAGGCTTGATGGTTCTGGGGAATCTGCCTGTTGGTAATCGATCTTTAACAATCTAATTATACTGGTTAGTTATGTTTGCAGAGACTTCCCACAATTTCTTTTCATGAAAAGCCTTCTTGGGACATATTTCTTGGGAGTGGAAATGCATCCTGGGAATGCATTATTCCATTGAGGGACTTCATGGGTTTAAACGCAATAGTGTGTGCATCTGTGTGTGTGCATTTATATAACCAGAAGTGCAGGAAAAATGCAAATATCAGCAATTGTAAGGACAGTTAATGGTCAGATGTCATCATCTCTCATTTTTTTATTTAGGAAATGCCAGAGACAACCCACAAGGCTCTTTTTCTTCATCTCTCTCACTACTTCTCCTTTGTAAAAAAAAAAAAAAACCTTTTGTGGTGAAAGAGAACGATGAAACTCACATGTGACTTAGAAGACAATCCTAAACATTTTTATCTAACTTTGCATGCCTCCATCCGTTGTCCTTCCCAAGGTCTCCGGGGCTGGAGATTGAACAACTTAGAGTCAACATTTAACCTAAACTGCAGCTCTTTGGACTGCATGAGGAGACTGGAGAACTCAGAGAAAACCAACGCTAACACATGGAGAGCATGCAAACTCCACAAGCAGTCCATTGGGTTTCACCTGAAACATTAACTGTGACGATAAACTGCTGATTTTCAACTTCGCTCCTGTTAGAGGATGTTCACGTTTGTATTTGGTAAAAAATAAGACATAAAACCACTTCACACACAATCTCAATTTATCAGTATGTTCTTTTCTATGTAACTTGTATCACTTAACTGTGAATATTGTGTGCATGTAGAACCTGCAAATGCAGAACTCGACACCAAACAAACAAGCCTCTGACTTGCTGTTATCTCAACCTACGCCTTTCTCCCTGAAGTAGAAACAGCAGTACCTGTCAAGGCCTGTGACATGAAGGAATCATTTCAATTGAAGGTTGATTCTGGATGTAAACACTTGGATGGTTGAATTTCTCACAAATTGTTTATTACAAAACTCTTCTTATTAAGTCGCATGTTGTCTCCTTATACAGTTCAACAGAGGTGGAGGTGTGACGTCTGTGTTCCACTTCATCTCCGGAGATCTTGACATGTTGAAATACCATATCAACATTCCTTAGCTTGCTATGGAGTTGCTTACAACTCGCAAAAATAGCTAATGTCTTAACCTTATAGATTAATGATGTGCATATGTAAACCATTTTGGGTAATGTGTTGATTCGATAAATTGTAAATTGGTCACCTGACTTCAGTCCAACTGAAGGGAAGAAGCCCCTCAAACAAACAAAGTGAAGCAGCCTGCAGAGTGTCACTAGGGAGGTGTCAGCTCTAAGGATCAGAGGCTACAGACTGCAGAGGATTTGTAAAGAAGTATAAAATATGACGACCTCAAGTTCATATTGCAGCTCAAGTTGTCCGAGTATATTTCGAGCCCTTAAAATTTGAGATTTATGCATAAAATGTTCTTTTAAGCTCTAGACTCAAACACAAAGGTGTTTGCTGTCGGAGCTCTAGAAATGTATTTATTTTAGGAAAGCAAACTTTAAAAACTCTTTTAGCTCAGCTGCATGCGTTTTGTTGTAAAACTGTTAAATATCTAAAGTGTATTAATTCAGAAAAACATTTATGGCCTGTAATCCTATTTTAGATCCA